TGACAATACAGACTTTCAAGAGCAAATCTTCATCTTTGAATAACTCTCGGAAAACTCGGAAACTATTACACTTAGAGCAAAAAGACTTTCTGTACAATTAAGTACATATTTAAGACTCTTCACAGTTTTCGGCTTTGTCGGTCGTTCTGTTCCACCCTGTATAAAATTATTCGGTAGGATTTCAATGAAGGGAACGAAGACACATAAAATTTTGATGACATTACGAGTGTGGGTAACACGTAACACTTGTACCAGTAGTAACACTAGTAACACCACAAATGAAGATTACATTTTTGTTATAATTATCATGGTAATTGATTTTTATAAACTGTGATAAAAAGAAAATGGCTTCTTCTTGTAGAGGTGAGGTAGGTTTTTGGAGAGCACTTAAATGAGACACATGTTTACTTGTTAACGCGTCGATCTATATTGATTGGACAGGTTACGATGGAAAGGTTACGATGTATGGTTTAATATTGTGTACCATATATAGAAATCTCTTAGTCTAATTAAAAGGTAAGTATCACTATATCACAAAACATGTTATATGTTATGTATAACATATATTACAACAAAAGTTAGTGTCTTATTTTATTTCAAAGTCAAAGTCAAAGTCAAAGATTATTTATTCCATAGGTAAAATAAATTTACACTTGAAAACGTCACATTTAAGCTACATTTAAGCTACTGCTCGTTCACTACGCTGACCTCCCTGAGAAGAACGAGCAAGAAACTCTAGGGATTGCTCTTTTCAATAAACTTAAATGCTATGGAATACACTTTGAATCAAATTTGTGTGGATTCTGGAGCCATGTCGTCTTTCCATACATCTTTATCTAACACGTAGTCTTCAATTTTGTAATATGATTTTTCGATCAAAATATTTTTAATGTAGTTTTTAAACTTAGGAAATGATAAACTTAATATATGCTCCGGAATCTTATTGTAAAAACGTATACAGTTCCCCATAAAAGAGTTGTTTACCTTGGTTAAACGAAATCGTGGTACCATGAGTTTGGACTTAGCTCTAAGGTTAATATTATGGATATCTTCTTTCTTATTGAAATTATGTAAATTTTTACGGGCATATAAAATATTTGAGTAAATGTACTGTGATGCCACAGTCATGATACCAGTCTCCTTAAACTTTTCTCTGAGAGATACCCGAGAGCCTAGACGGTACACAGAACGAATCGCTCGTTTTTGCAATACAAATATGGTTTGAATATCTGCCGCTTTACCCCACATGAGAATCCCGTAGGACATTATACTATGGAAGTAACTAAAGTAAACTAGTCTAGCAGTACTAACATCGGTAAGCTCACGTATTCTGCGGACTGCGTATGCAGCGGAGCTTAATCTGCTGGCCAGGGACGATATATGTGGAAACCACTGAAGTTTACTATCTAAGGTCACTCCCAAGAAGACTGCTTTATTAACAAGGTCTAACTTTTCTCCGTTTATTTCTATGCTTGGACTAGTCGATTTTACGTTAGGTAATTCAAATTTAACACATTTTGTCTTCTTGGCATTAAGCAATAAATTGTTAGCATTAAACCAATAAACTACCTTAGAGAGGGTATCATTAATACGGTCATAGTTAATGTCATGTCTGTCTGTTTTAAAAATCAAGGATGTGTCATCAGCAAACAACACTATTTCGCAATGGTCCTTAACAAAGAATGGCAGATCATTAATATAAATCAGAAATAAGAAAGGTCCAAGTATTGAGCCCTGCGGAACACCCATTTTTACTGGAGAACCCAGTTATTCCATTATAGTTTTTCTAAAAAAAAACCAAATTTAGAAAAAAATACCAGGGCGCTGTGTTTTTTTCATGTTTTTTTTTTCAAAAATGCGAAAAAGAACATTTGGTTTTTTTTTCAAGTTAGAACACTAGAGCAGACCAATACCACCTGTGTCGCGACATCGCACAATTGTATTGCAGTACGCCACAGACTATTAGATGCTAACGCAGCAGTACGCTTGCGGAGTACACATCAAGCCCTAGAAATTGCACCATGCCAGACTTTTCCCCATTCTAATTTTTAATAATATTTTAGCTAGTACACTCTGGCTATCCGACGCATGCGACTTAGTCAGGGGCAACAACATTTAGTTTTGTGAGTGAAAAAATAGGATGATTCTTCAGCGTTTAACTAATACTTTTTTTAAATGCTGTAGTACGAATTTACATATAAGTAGCAGTGAAAGAGTTCGTCCAAGTACTGCCACCTTACCTATTTCTTCCGCCAAGTAGTAATGTCAGCATTACTGCGTTCCGGTTTTGAAGAGTAAGGGTGCTGGTGAAATTACAGGCACATGGGACTTGTCAACTTATGACTCAAGGTGGTGGGCGCAGTGGCAGTGCCACTTTTTTAACAGGGGTAAATGCTTTATGCATACCCTCGAGCCCAGAGAGACCCGAGGGCTATGTGGGACTGGGCAAATAGACTGAACTACCCACTAAAACCAGGGCATACCCACTAAAACCCACCCTCTTGGCGTGGTGTTGTGGGAGCCGTGGGATCGCTGTAGCAGTGCCCGTAAGATCTTTGCGATTTAAAGCTCTGAAATCCACTGCTACTGTCATGGATAGACGTGTCACTTAGCACCAGGCGCGCGACTTGTTCATCCCGTCACTTGGTATTATAAAAAAATAGAAAAAAATATCACCAACACGAAGATCACAACCGATGTAGAAAAGTTTCTTTACCCAAGTTCAACCTTTCGGAAATCAAGCTATAGGTCAAGCCCGGAACTAAACACTAGACAACCGAGTTAAACTATTGCAATTGTTTCCTACGACAAAACTCAATTATGTTACTTGATAAATATCACGGCAGCGATGTTCGACTTGTTCGAGAAGAAACACTGTGGACGCTTTCAAGAGTTTGTTGCGTATTCATCGGATATATCTGCGACTCTTGCACTGGGAACGGGAGTACTTATTATAATAATAACTTCCGCAGTACAGGCAAGTAATATACATATATTGCAACTTATTGATGCAGTGATTTACTGCTATTGAAGTTTCAGAATCCAGCAGTACCTCGTCTCCTTTGTTCGCAAAGATTCAATATCTTTGTAAAAACCAATAACGACGTATCGCTACTTATTAACGAGATAAATGCCTCCACCTCTAGGTCGTGTTGAAGAAATACAAACTTGCATTGTCGTTGATAAATCCGTGTTAAACATACTATTCAAGCTGAGAATTGTTAAAGCATGTGATAGTTGAGCTGCGTCGGCGTCGGTCCAACTTAGTTAATACTATCTAGGTAACTTAGCATTGGGTAAGTAAT